GTATTTTTAAATATGTAATGACTAAAAAAGATACTGATTTATGATAACTGATAATTTTTATTATACAAATATAATATATTAAAAATGTTAAAAAATGTGAAAAAATTTAAAATAACATAAAATTTAATATGTTAAATAATAAGAATAAAAAATATAGTTTAATAATAAAAAATTAAAATATAATAAAGTTATCATGGTCATTTATAAAAGTAGGTATAGTGTAACTTCCATTTGTAATTTCAAATTCACCAAAACATAGAGTTGGCAAATCTATATTTCAACCTCATCTCAACCACACATTTAAAAAGTCATGTTGATCATTTAAAAATTACCCAAACAATATTTAATATTTCAAAAGTTGAAAAGTGAATTCAAATGCCAAATCTTAGTTATCCTTTAGTCTCTCAAGTTTTTTTCACTTATTGATTTGATTCCTCAAATTAATTTTCATCAATTTATAAGTCCCTTCAATTTATTTAAATTATTGATTCTATCCTTATTATTTAAAAAAGAGGTTGTACTATTGAAATTTTATAACATGGTTTACAAGGAATTGATGGCAGCCATGTAAAATAATGAAAAGAAGTATATAATTATTTATGTAGAAAAAATAAATTTTGAAATTTTAAAAACAAGATAACAAAAGACAATGTAAGGGATTATATTAATAAAAATTAACCTAATTTGACAGTTAATTTATTCTCATTTAGTTGTATATACATGTCAAGTTATTAATATATTTTACATATTAAATTATTTTGATAGTCAATGTAAAACATAAAGAATTCACATGATAATTTAAAAAAAATATAAGAGATCAAATTAATAAAAATTAAATTTAAAATTTTAAATCGATAATTGAAACAAATTTAAGAAATTACAAGTTTTATTATTCCTTAAAAATATAAAGCATTTTAAGTTTTTCAAAGTGCACCTAATAATGTTTTTCAAAAATATCCTTAAATAGGAAGGTAATTAATGAGGTTTTCTAATTGAGATATCCTGTTAAATAATATTAAATATGGAAAGAGTGTAATTTTAAAAATCATTATTAAAGGTGCAATTCATTAAAATTGTATGATAATACTGAAGGAATATATACATATGAGACAAGCCACTTGATCAACCTTTTCCAGGTTCGTCTTTCTAATTTACTTTAGAAAACCTTAATCTTTTTATTATAGTAGAAGGGTTTAAATTCATGATATCACAGTCTTTGTATGTTTCCTAACATCATTCTGAAAATCCTCGGATTCTTTAATTCCTCGTTTTCAAAAATTGATATATTTAGTGTAAAAAGCGGAAGTTTCAGTTTTATGGATTGAAATTCTGGGGATCCGGCCCTTGGTTGCAGGAATACATATGCTAATCTACTTTCAATAATCTGACCTAAAGTCATTATCGTTATGCTTGTTTCTTTTCTTTTTTTTTAATTTTATCGCTCGCTATTCTGGAAAATGTGGGGCATTATTATCCCGTCTAAATTAATCTGAACTCTTGTTATGCAGGATTGTTATTATTAATAGTGGCCTTGAGTATTTCAGAGATACACTTGGCATGCTTGTTTAATTTCCTCTCCTTTCCTTTGTATTTATTTATCAGCATTAATAGTGTTTTGCCCCTAAACAAGTATGTGAATTTCAATAATTCAATGCCTCCATTGCTTATGGCTGAGATGAAATTTATAGGGAAAATTATTTTGCAATTTCATACAATACAATTAAATATGATAAGGTTTATTAACAATTGGGCAAAGAAAAATAATAACTTGTTAAATTATTAATAAATTTTATAATGTTTAAATGTAGTTTGTAGGATTTGTATGTAATTCTTCCAAACTTTTAACTATCGCATGTATTGGAAATATTGTAAATTGGTATATTCCACTCCAACTTTTATTCTTTTTCATTTTAAATTTCCATCTCTCCTACTGTGCAGTTATTTATTTGGGAAAATTAATCATAAGATCATTGAGTTTTTACTTAGTTAAAATTTAATTTCTAAATTTTGATTCAATTATACAAACTTATTCATTATAATTTTAACGACTTAAAATATTAGTCTCTATGTTTTAAGGAATAAATTTATAAAAACTAATTTTTAAATTTAAGGACTAAAGTCTTAAATCCTTAAAATTATAGCGGTTTAGCTACACTTGATTAAAGCTCAAAGACAGTATTTCAACAAAATCAAAACTATAAAAAAGATTAATTCCTAAGTTTTAAAAACTGAATCGATCATTGAACCAGACAAGGCACTGATTCACGGTTCATTAGTCAAACCGTAGTCGAATCGGGGTTAAACCGGTTGATATTAAATTAGTATATTTTTAATTTATGTATCATAATTAAATAAAAAATACATTTAAATATGCATTTTTTTCAAAAATATATTATAGATGCTTGATAATATAATTTTTTATTAATAAATACATAATTAATAATAATTATAACTGAAGCTTTTCATTTAAATATCAAGAAAGATGTAATTTAATTTTAATTTTAATTTATTTATTTTTTATTTTTTTAAAATTTTTTTGAGTTTTGCATGAGAATCGGTCCGGTTTTTATCCGGTTTTACTGATTTTTGACCGGTTTAACCAGTTGTTGACCAATTTTTAGGGGTCAACCGAACCGGATCAGGAGCCGGTTCCCAATTCAACCAGTTGAACCGGCCGATTCGGTCCGATTTTTAAAACCCTGATTAATTCACAATGAATTACAAGTAAGTTAAAATTATAGGATTGAAATATATATATATATATATATATATTATGACAACTCTAACTTGTTTTATTTTACTTAAAAATATACTTGAAAATAAATTTAGGTATAGTGAAATATTTAGTCTCTCAAGTTAATTTGTCTCAATTATCAATTCCGTCCTTCAAATTCATTTCTTGTCAATTAGTCCTTTATATTTTCTTAAATTATCAATGTGAATCCTTTAATGTTTAAAACACAAATTAACTTTTAAAATATTTCAATGTGTAAAGCATATTAATGATTTGGCATGTATGTATAGTTAAATAAAAATAAATTAACCTTGAAATCAATTTAATTTTTATTAATATAATCCATTGTACTATATTTTATTCTTTTATTTTTTAAAAATTCAGAGTTTGTTTCTCTACTAAATAATTATATTTATTTTCATTAATATAGATTACTGTTATTAATATTTTGTTATTGATGTTAGCAGATTTTAATAGCATTACTTCATTTTTAAAGAATAAGGACCAAGGACCAAATTAATAATGAAAATAAATTAAGGAATTAAATCAATAAAAACTAAATTTAAAAGACTAAATTAATAATTGAAACAAATATAAGGAACTAGAAATTGTATTATCCCATAAATGTATAAACAATACATTCCCCCTCTTTGGCGTAAAAAAAAAAAACCAAACGTGTTAGAAATGTTGAGTCTAAAACGATAACAAAAGGTTCCCGGGCTCCATTTTCACAGTTTATACGAATGTAAAATATATAAAAGAATTGAAATAATAAGTATTTGATTAATAGAAAAGGCAGATTACAAAGCTAAAATCAAAACTTAAAATTATTTAAAAATTAAGAGCTACAAGTATAATGGATTTGAGTGATTATTGTTGTTCAATTCTCTTTTTCTCTATGATCCTCTCTTCCTTTTATAATGGTTTAGCTAAAACGGTTGCTCCCACAAAATTTAAAACTCATTCGTGAAATATTGAGATTCAATAGGCATGACCTGTGAGATTCATGGCAGGATCTTCCTCTTTGCAACATGTCTAAACTATAGTTCGATTTTCAACTCGTGTCCCAAAAATATTCATGGATGATGATGGCTATGATCTCTTGAGATTTGGGGCTTGTTGAGAACATAATCTATTGTGAGGCAATGGCCTACCTAGATAAAGACTTGGAGTCTTGAGGGATCCATAAATTCAAATTGACTTAGTTAAGTTATTCTTTTATGATTTAAATTGACCTTGTTATTAGATTGTCTCGACCTGACTCTAGTTATTCAACATATTTTTAGCCATAATCATTGTAAATGATATTTTAATTTTAACCCAAACACCACAAAGCATTGTACTTTTTCATCACAGAAAAGGTACCATCAAGTTGGCAAAATAAATAAAGAAAAGAAAAGAAAAAAAAAAGAAAAGGTAGTATCAAATTTCCAAACCCCTCTCCTTTCAGTGATTGCTAAAAATTATTATAATTGACCAACTACGGCAATTCACCTAATTCTACCCTTGATATTTAAAGCACGTAACCTAAACTGTTGGTTAATTACAAATTATTATCAGGGACTGGGAGTTACATGGTAACAATATATCAAAACTTCCAAATTCTTTTCTGGGATTGAAAAAATAACGAAAAAACTAAACTTACATATAATATTAATTCCAAGTCAGTATGTATCTCTATGTTCAAGGTACAAGATCAAATCTCAGGTCGAAATTAAAACGGATATGATCAAATCTTCTAAGTTATGATCTCTCTGTTATATATATATCGAATTTAAAGTTTTCTGTGCATCGCACACCAAAAAAAAAAAATCTACTTATCTTTCTTTATAAATAGATAAACAGAGAATAAAAATTGTAGATTACATCACTAGAGTTCTTGTTCTTTGAAAAATTAAAATAAAAATATAGTATATATATTCATATTGATCTCACTTTGAATCATTGATATTGAGATTTGGGTTGCAAAGAACAAAATTAATCTTTTGGCCAGATATAAAGAATTAAATTATTATTAGCTAGCTATATAATATTAATATATATTGAGTTTTATACCATTTGTAATCGTGATTAAAATGCCTTTTTTAAAAAAAAAATCAATGATAACGAAAAATTCCAACAGTACTCCGATCTGGTTACTGGGTTACGAAAGCAGGTTTTGCAGTTTGACCAAGTTGGAAAGAGAGCTGAATTGATACTAAAAATACGAAATCCCTAATTTAAGAAAACGAACTTTTCTCTATTTTTAAATAAAGTTTGAAACTGAAAGTAACGTTGATGTGCCATTCTTTTGCTCAAAAAAAAAAAAATGTTGATGTGCCATTCTCATCCCTAATACTTCCTTCTATTTTTGTGTTCTTCCTTCCATCACCACGTTCCTCTAAAAATTTCTCCTTTTCTTCTCCGTTAGGATTTTCACTTTTTTTGTATATGTCTCTGTATCCACTGAAAAAAGGAGAAGAATTTTGAGTTGTATCACTCTGTTACTCCGTCATGAAGATGAAAGGCGAAGAAGCTATAGACCCTACAATGAAATATCCAGGCGAGCTCACCCCAAGGGTGGTCCTCACTTGTATCCTTGCTGCCACAGGTGGTTTAATCTTCGGTTATGATCATGGTGTTTCTGGTAAATGATCCAATCCCTTTTTAACTATTTTCTACTTTATATCTAAAAAAAATATTTTCTACTTCAATTTTACTCACTTCACTTGGATGTTGCTTGTTCCTTTTGTTTATCGACTTATTGAAATGAAACTCTTATGTTTAATGCGTCCTCTGTTTGATGAAATGCCTCAATGAACAAGCACCATTAATTTTTGGGGTGTCGCCGGAGGGATGAGATTTCTGATGGGGGGACCTTTTGTTTTTTGTTTTGTCTTTCTTGTAGGTGGAGTTACGTCTATGGATTCTTTTCTCGAGAAATTCTTTCCATCTGTATACGCACGAGAGGCTAACATGAAACCTTCGTCGGATCAATACTGCAAATTTAACAGTCAGATCCTGACACTGTTCACATCTTCTCTGTATCTAACTGCTCTGATTTCCGGTCTTGCGGCATCCACGATCACACGAAAGTTTGGAAGGCGTGTCACTATGATGATTGGTGGTTTCTTCTTCGTCTCAGGTGCATTGCTCAACGGATTGGCCATCCACATTTGGATGCTTATCGTTGGTAGGATGTTGCTTGGTTTTGGTATTGGATGTGCCAATCAGGTAACTAATCTGGCTTAGCTTCTGCTCTGAGTCCTCTTCTACAATTATTTTTTTATTCGATTCTTTACATTCTGGTTTTGTTTTTTGTTTTTTTGTTTTTTGTTTTTCAGTCTGTGCCCATCTACGTCTCTGAGATGGCTCCTTACAAGTACCGAGGAGCTTTAAACATGTGTTTCCAATTATCTATCACCATAGGCATCTTTGGTGCCAACCTTGTGAACTACTACTTTGCCAAAATATTGAATGGTCAAGGATGGCGTTTAAGCTTGGGGCTTGGTGCAGTCCCTGCTTTGATTTTCGTTTTTGGGTCTGTTTTCCTCCCTGATTCACCAAATTCTCTTGTTGAACGTGGCTGCTTCGAAGAAGCCAAACAGGAGCTTATAAGAATCCGTGGTAGACCCAACATTGATGCAGAGTTTAATGATATAGTTGCTGCTAGTGAGACCTCTAAACAAGTTAAACACCCTTGGGCAACCTTGAGGAAGAGGAAGTACAGGCCTCAGCTTGTTCTAGCAGTTTTGATTCCCTTCTTCCAGCAATTCACTGGCCTGAACGTGATCACATTCTATGCTCCTATCTTGTTCAGATCAATTGGCTTTGGAAGCACTGCTTCACTCATGTCTGCTGTCATCATTGGCAGTGTTAAACCTGTCTCAACATTGATTTCAATTCTTGTTGTAGATAAATTTGGAAGACGCACTCTCTTTCTTGAAGGTGGTTTTCAAATGTTAGTTTGTCAGGTAAACAAAACTATTAACGTTACTTCATATCTTACTGGTTATTTCAGTTAGTTCCTGATAAGCATACCATCTGTGTTTTGGTGACAGATTATCATGGCAATTGCTATTGGTATAGAATTTGGCACAACTGGGAATCCTGGGGTGTTGCCTAAGTGGTATTCATATGTGGTTGTCACTGTGATATGTGTTTATGTGGCTGGTTTTGCCTGGTCTTGGGGTCCTCTAGGATGGTTGGTGCCCAGTGAAGTGTTTGCTCTTGAAGTTAGACCTGCTGCTCAGAGTATTACCGTTGCTGTGAACATGATCAGCACCTTCCTCATTGCTCAATTATTCACATTAATGTTGTGTCACCTGAAATTCGGGCTGTTCATCTTCTTCGGTTGTTTTGTCATGATCATGACGATTTTCGTGTACAAGTTGGTACCGGAGACGAAGGGAATTCCGATTGAAGAAATGTCCAAAGTGTGGGAGGATCATCCCTTTTGGAGCAGATTTGTCAGGTCAAGTGATGAAGGCACTGATAACTACAAGGGAATTTATAAATCCTAGTTTATGTTCATTGTGGGTTATGTTTCTTTTCAATCTCATGTTTATGATGCAGTTAAGATTAATGAATTTGAAAACTTGTTTATCTCGGTTAATTCTTCGTAATACACAAGCTTTCGAGTTTATCATGGCAATGGGTTTATTCAACTTGGTTAGACGCAGCTATGAAGTCAAGTTATAGGGTCATAGTAAATTACAGTTTCTTTCAATCTCACCTTCAAAGTTCAAATGATAGAACCAATATTGAATAGCTCATTATCTAAATCAACCACATAGTAATGATATTTTACACTCACCAATAACTAAACAATATGAAGAGTTCTTCTTGGTAATTTAAGTTTAAAGCACAAAAAAAAAATTCAATAAATATTCGTACTTAAGCTTGTTGATAAGATTCTATGGTCTAAAGATATGCATATAGAAGTTAACATTATTGCTAGAAATCATCTAAGAGATCTTACTGCTTTATTTGAAAAGTTAAAAGGCTTTGTATCTACTTTGGATTAATTCACGGAAATAGCTATAGAAATTAATTTCAAGTATGACTTTAAAATTTATTCATTTCTACTATATGACATCAAGATAAATTTTCGGAATTAATTGATTATAAAAGGTAGATTATTTTGCCAACTCAAAATGTCAGAAAAATTATACAAGGATCAATTTTGTCTAACCCCTAGAATTTTTAGATACAGCCTATCAACAATATATTGGATATTGTTTTTGGCCAAAACATCTGAGAGATTTAAACTATGGGTACGAACATGCAGCAATTTAATTAAAGACAAAAGGATAGAGTTAACAGATAGAAGTTTGTTAGGTTCATATCCGTTGATTATGGGAAAAATTTTCAACATCCAGATTGACATTGGTGGTTGATATCATATATAATCATAAATGATTGATAGAGATTTTTGACTTTTTAGTATACTAGAGATAATCTTTTATCATTTTAGAAATATTATATGTTAGGGATAATAAAATTTTTGACTCTTCAAATTTGCTTTAGCTATTGATTTGGTTTCAAAAATTTAATTTTTAGTCACTAAAGTTTTATAAACATATACAATTAATTCTCATTATATTATTTCCCCTTCAAACCAAAATGACTAACTTTGTATTGTTTTGTAACTTATTTTATTAATAAATATTAAATTTTAAAAATCAAATTAATAAGTGAAATAAACTTAAAAATTAAAAATTTTATTAACTTCAATAATATATAGTTTAGACTTTGGCATTCCGTGGTAGGGGAACAAAAGTCAAAAACTGCATGAACTTTGTTTGGATTCAAATGTTCAACGCAACATGATTTCCATGGTTATTGAAATTCAAAGAATCCAACTTCTGGGGTACTAGAGTTTGTTTGTATTGTGGCAATTGTGACCTCAGAAATAATATTAAATGTCACTTCAGGCCGAAGAGCTTTTCTAAGAATGGGAATTACCAAATGAACCCAACAAAACTACATTTTTGTGGTGAAGAAGATTATAGTATTAAATTAAAGTAACTTTCTTTCAAAGAAAATTAAATTATGTCACATTTTTCCCCTATGGATAAAATCTTGACCAAGAAAGCTAGAATATAATGAAGGTTATTAGGCTTATATGGAAGGAAGTAACAGAGTAGGAGTATGAAGGCTTTTTTAAAAACTTCCTTTTGTAGCACAAAACTCCATTTCCTATACGGTTAAGATAAAAAAAAATCATATCTTTTATATTTTAGAGTAAATATAATGATCTCTTCTTTATTTTATTTTGATTACATATATATTCTTTTTATTTTTAAAACATATATAAACATTTTCTATAATCAATAGTTATAAAATACAAATATTTGTTCTATTTTAAGATTTCATTTTCATCCACTAAATCGGTGGTTGACAGTTAATGACATGTATTGAATCAAAATACTCTTATTTAAATATATATATTAATTAAAAATCGTTCAAGTTACCCAAACAAAAATAACGGATATAATTTTAAACTTTTTTATTTATTCAAAATTATTTATTTAGTATTTTTAAAAAAATTAATACATAACTAATTTTTTAAAATAGAATTTCAAACACATATAAAAATAATGAAATATAGATTTAATATAATAAAATGTAAATTAGTTATTAAAATTTATGTTAATTTTATTTAAATTTTATAATTTTAATACAACATTTTATTATTATTATTTTTTTTTTTATTGATGAAGAAAATAAAGGACAACTACTCTAAAAAGCAAGATGAAAGAAACCTAAGCCCCTTGACAGGCTGAAAGTGAAGGCCAAGAGGAAGTGCTCAGCTTTCATATTTTCTTTTCTTGGAATATAGGCTATGGCCAAGCATGATAATCCAAGCACAAGACAGTAGACTGTGGCATTGAAGGATTAAGTTTCAATTATCATGAATATCATTGCTCACTTCCTTGATCAGATTAATGGCCTCTGCAGAGTCACTTCATAGACAAACCTTCTGAAGACCCCCAGTCCCAGGGTCGTTAATTAGCCCTGTAAGACAAGTCCAAAGTTTAGTGTCTAGAGAATTATTTATTTAAATACTATTATACTTGATTATTTAAAACTCCTTAAATTGGAGAGAGAGAGTGTGTGTACAATTAGATTATAAGGATATGTTAATAATTTTAAAATTTTCAACATAATTATAAATAAAAAATTAATTATTTTAAAATCTTTAACAGTGTTAAAAATTAAACTAAAATGTAAGTTTTGAAAAAAAATAAGAAGTCTTTGTAATTTTAACAAAATAGAAGAAATGTCTTTGTATTTTATTATATATTTTAATTGTAATTTTTCAAATTCTTTTCTCCTCATTTCTCTCCCTCTCTCACTCGGTGCTCCCCGCCCATGGAGTGATAAGGACATAGCTTGTCTTCTACCTTTTCCCTTCACTTTTCCTCTTCAACCTTAAATCTTGTTGGGAATTGATTCATAACTTATAAGGTCATGATATTAAATCTTGTTGTCATTATGGGGATCTTATTGATAGGTCATATGTAAGAATCTCTTTAAGTTTATTTAAATCTAAAGATATATCATGTCCTTAGCGAGCCTTCATAATCCAATTCATCAAAAATTTAAAAAAAAATATCATTCAAGGACCACTAAGAGTATTTAATATCAACCAAGGATTAAAAGATTTTAAAGTATCACTATAGGACTAGGGGAATGATTTGAAAATAATTTTAGATAAGAAAATAATATAATGCCCCTACCTTTCTTTTTTTAGTTGACAAGTACCTATTCATACATTAACAAGCATCCATTAGTATTTAATAATAAATTATTCGCTTATCGGCAAGTTCAATAATGTGAAAGAACTTGGTTGTAGAAAGAGATAAATATTAATCATATTTCAATAAATAATCATTAATTAATTAAAAAATATTCATTCATATTTAACAAGAAGCCATTTGCTAATTAATAATGTTAAAAATTTGGAAGAACTTGATTATAGAAAGGCATAAGTATAGATTATATTTCAACAAATAGCTATTCATTAATTAACAAATACACATTTTTATTTATCAGGAAACTATACATTATTTAACAATTTTTTTAAAAAGAAAAATAGACTTATAATAGGTTTTTCTATCCAGAATTATTTTCAAATTAATTCCCTAGTCTTGTAGTGATATTTCAAAATTTTTTGATTATTGTTTGATATTAAATTGCTCATATGGTTCTGTTTAAGCTTAAAATGAAGTGTCAATTGACGAAAACTCAAAGAAACAAAAGAGGAACCGTTAGGAGCAATGAACCATGATTTAAGACAAGGCTTGGTTTACTTCAAGGTGAGCTTCCAAAATAAGCACATGTAGAATTGGAAAAGTAATCCTTAAAACTTGGAACGATTAAGTATGGAGGATTGTTATTTAAATGTGAGGCCATTACCTTGGCATGCCCCCTAAAACACAAGAAACCATGCCATGCATAGTGAATGAGGGAACTTGGGAAAAAATAGTAAAAAAAAAAAAAACGCTCACAATATATAAAACTTCCATTCTCTTATTCAAAATTTACTTTGTATTCCGTACTTAATTATAGTCATTTTTCAATTCTATTGTAATCTTTATAGTACTTGCAACTTAGTTTCAATAATCAAATTATATTTTTTCAATCATCCTTGCATCTTCACATTAAAAAAATTGAGATAAGGGAACTTGAGAATTCTTAATTAACATTTGAGACTTTCCATCTTTTGCACGCACCACGAACAGGTCTTTGAATAATATTTTCTCAAAAACTTATTTATATACTCCATTTATTTAAAAATATAAAATATTTTTAATTAAATCTTGTCATCTAATAAAGTGCCTAATTATTTTCAAACTAACTCTATCATTTTACATTTATCTCTATTTAATAAGGTATTTTATTTTAAAATAAATATAAAGTGATTTTTATATTATGAACACTTTAAAAAAATTATAATAATTATACTTTAAAATACTAAAAATATATTATATTTTTTAACATTTAATTCTTTAAAAAATATTTTATATTAAAAACGTAAGAGATCCTGTGTCAATGTCAAGTGCATTGCGTTTTTTAGTTTTTGGTATAATAATGAAGACAGCCTAAATTTATCCTTCATAAATCATAATGGGCCTTGTATGATTACTAAACTGGCGAACTGAGGCTCTACGCTCAGAAAGTCCATTCGTTCTATTGAGCTTTTCAAATTTATTGCACGTTCCCACGAAACCCAAAAATCTTAATATGTAATGGGGAAATTAATTTTCCAATCCTTATGGTTTCTCTTAGTTTTTAAGTAGGTCCCTAAAGGTTTTTTTTTTTTTCTTTTTTATTGGCTCCTTCAAGTTCACCCCGTTAATAGCGTTGATTGATCCTTATGGGTTGAAAAACTGAGGAGGACGAACGGAGATGATAGCGCCGTGAAAATTTAATGACGTGGGGAAAAGACAAAAGAGCACGAGCATTAAAAAGCCAAATGTGTTTGTGACTCAACGCATTCCAACCAAGGAAAGCAGTGGTATGATGTCCACTTATCAGAGTGGGTGAACTCACCAAAAAGTTCATTTTTTCTCTTGTCATGGGATCCTATTGAACAAGAAACTCGAGAGGAAGTTTCTATTTAAAGTTGCTCTCCGAAGA